TAAAGTAAGGCCAGCATCTGTAAAGTAAGGCCAGCATCTATAAAGTAAGGCCAGCATCTGTAAAGTAAGGCCAGCATCTGTAAAGTAAGGCCAGCATCTATAAAGTAAGGCCAGCATCTGTAAAGTAAGGCCAGCATCTGTAAAGTAAGGCCAGCATCTGTAAAGTAAGGCCAACATCTATAAAGTAAGGCCAGCATCTGTAAAGTAAGGCCAGCATCTGTAAAGTAAGGCCAACATCTGTAAGCAGTAATTGTGTTGCCGATTGAATAATCCGACCTGGTAGAATCAGGTTGATTCTACCAGGGTAGAATCGGGGTGATTTTACCCCGGGAGAATCGGGTAGGGTCGAAACAGCTTGTGAGGTTGGTAAGATATCCAAGTTAATATTTTTTATTTAACAAAAACATCAGCTAAAATATCTGTTAGTCCAGCGAGTGTAGCGAAAGGTCATGCGAGGAACCCGCAAGACGGCCGAGTGATGCAGCGTTGGGCGCCCACGTGTCTCCAGCAGCAGTCCTTGGGCCGCTACCCTAACAAAATTTAGAGTCGCCCCAGCTTCTGCAGTAAATCCAAATCAGAAGCTGCCGCGACTGTGAATTTTCACTGGGTAACAAAATTTAGAGTCGCCCCAGCTTCTGCAGTAATCCAAATCAGAAGCTGCCGCGACTATAAATTTTCACTGGGTAATTAGTCTCTATACACAGCACGCATTTAAATATACTAACTAAGTAGTAATAGTAATAAAAGTGGTTATTTAATGGAAATGGTAAACGTTATTTTAATAGTTATATTAATGGTAATGGTACGTGTGAGTTTAATAGTATTATTGATGGTATGAGTTATTGTAAGAGAGTAATTGATGGTAATGGTAAGAGTAATAATTGTAATAGGGGTAGTAATATTAATGGTACGAGTAATTGTAAGAGTAATAGAATAGGTAATAATAGTGTCCGCGTTCAGTCAGCCAAATCTGCTCTGTAGAAGATTCTAAATACCGTAGAATTTGTACAGTTTGCAGGGGCTTTGAACCCGCACTTCACTGCTCATAATTTTTACAGCTAGCTTGGCACGAACCCGCAACTCACAGCACCAAACTTTGCGTCTCAGATTTTTCTCGATATAAGCCAAGAAAACGAGACTAGAAATGTCCCGGTAAACAACGACAGAAGGGAAAGAGCCATTGTAAGTAAAAGTATACTTACAAGACAGAAATTTTGTCTTCATTTTTTTTTTAATTTTGAGACACTAAGATACACGAGCAACTCGCTAAGATACTCGAGAGCAACTTACTAAGATACTCGAGAGCAACTTACTAAGATACTCGAGAGCAACTTACTAAGATACTCGATCAACTTACTAAGATACTCGAGAGCAACTTACTAAGATACTCGATCAACTTACTAAGATACTCGAGAGCAACTTACTAAGTTACTCGAGCAACCTACTAAGATACTCGAGCAACTTACTAAGATACTCGAGCAACTTACTAAGATACTCGAGAGCAACTTACTAAGTTACTCGAGCAACCTACTAAGATACTCGAGAGCAACTTACTAAGATACTCGA